TTTTAGCTGGCGCGGATCGGGTTCGACCTGCTGTCAGGCGAACCAGCCCACCTTGGGATTTGTCAATTGTGCTTGATTGGCTGTCCGGTCCAACTTTCTCACACCTATCGGCTATTTCCATTCAGTTGTTAACTTGGAAGGCTGTTTTTCTGGTGGCGGTAACATCCGGGCGTAGGGTCGGCGATTTACATGCTATGTCGTCCGACCGGGCTGACTGTGTTTCACACTGATCGGTGTCAGTATTAAGCCTCCGGATACGTGCAGCCGAAGGTCGATCACGCTTTCCATGAGACAGCTCCTATCGAACTTCCACTCTTACCCAGCCTTCCACATCGGGGACCTCTGCAACGAGCACTCACCCGTTGGATGTCCGTAAGACTCTCAAGGTCTATATCAAGCGAACGCCAGGGGAATCCGTGCGGGTACCCAGCTGTTCTGTTGTTACGGTGGCGGGAAGGCTGGTGTGCCGGCCAGCAAGCAGACTTTGTCTCGCTGGCTAGTTTCGATGTATCTGTGCTGCTTATCAGGCTAAGGGCAAGCCTCCCCTGAGGGGTTGAAGGCTCACTTTCGGTCAGGGCAGTAGCCGCATCAAAAGCTTTTGCATCGGCTCCCCATTGAAGAGATCTGCTCTGCCGCTATTTGGAGCCGACCTAGCACGTTTATTCGGCATTATCAGCTCGATACGCATTCCCGTAATCGTGCGAGCTTTGGCCGTTCTGTTCTCTCCAGTGGACAGTGTCCTGCCACCCTGACCGATTGAGTCTTGGTTCATTGGTTTTGTTGACGCTGCTGTTCAATACTGAGTTTTATTGACATATCTGCTATTGGGAGCTAAATAACCTCATTTCGATCCTCTCCGGAGTATTTAGGTCGATTGTGAGCGTTTTTGACATTCCCCCCTATGGTGCTCACTAATCGACACAAGGTGGGTGGGGCTTTGTTCACATTTCGCACCATGTGCGAGTTACTATGCGAACCTTTGAGGTCATCTTCGAGTACAATCCTCCCTGTCAGTTCCCCTCCCGTAATGCCTCTCGCGGAAGCGAAAACTGGGACATGTGACAGGTGAGTGTTATGGCGTCTGTTACATTATTCAATTAACGATAGCTATTTGTATGTGCTTGGACAAAATTCCCTCCTCCCTGGCCTCCGGTCTTTGGGAGTCTGTGTTTATGCATAATATGTACCCCAAGGACGATCTCTATGAAGAAGAAATAACCAAACCTGAAGAGGTTTTCAATTCTTCGAAGAGAGTCGTCCTTGGGGTAGGGCCTCCCGCCTCCCCGCAATTCTGTTCACTGATCTATTCAGCAGAAGGAATGATGATACAGGCCTAGGTGATTACCCAGTTGGTGCGCATGTGCAACAGGAGGTAACTCCACGAGGTGGGGGCCGTATAATAAATAAAAAAGTTTATTTATTGTACAATCTTTTTTTTCCAAAAACATTGATACAACTGTCACAGGACATTTTCAGCGTGGAAAATGCATAATATGTACCCCAAGGACGACTCTCTTCGAAGAATTGAAAACCTCTTCAGGTTTGGTTAAGTTTCTTGTATATAGGGAGAACTTGCACACATTGATTTCTTAATTACAAGGTTGAAGAAAAATTGCTATTTCATACATAGTGCACTGTCAAAAATCGCCTTGTATGGCTTCAAATTAATTGTGAAAAAACAGTAGATCAGAACAAACAGTTGTCAGAACATTTGTCTATGTTGCCTAGCCATCAGTGAACTGACAAATACCACTGCCTGGAATAGGGCCCTACTTCACAAAGAGGTGTCAGTGTCATGCCTGTCTTAAGTCTTGGTCTCAGTGCCACAAGGTTGTATTCACACAAGTTACAGCAGTTGTAGCACTGAGAGTGAGTGAGTTTCCTTTTACACCACTTTTAGCAATATTCCAGCAATATCACAGCGGGGGACACCAGAAATGGGCTTCACACATTGTCTTTGGCATGACAAGCCAACGCTTTAACCACTAGGCTACCCGGTGTCCTCCCATTTGTGAGAACTCCCAGTTGTGAGACACATTAATTAATGGTTCAGTGCACATAGGTGGTGTTTCCACATCCCTACAATGAAAGTGGGATCAGCCAAGCCCAGTACCCACAGGAGGCATAGTCCATTGATGAGTTGACTAATGAAATAGATTTTCAGAAGAATAACACATATTTATTGACTATTATGAAGTTTGAAAGTAATTTTAGTTTGAACATATTTTATTATTATTTATGAAAATGAATTGGGATTGGTGAAGTATTACTGCTTATGTTAACAACGCTCCCATGCAACATAAAATATAAAACGAAATGGAGGATGTGACGTCATCGATATTGACTATTGCATAAATATATTTTTAAATACATATAAATATATACAGATTACATCAAATGCAACTATTCTCTAAGTAGTCATAATTAGAGACTTACAGTTGTGTGTGTCTAACAAGCTATTTTAGGAATATAAATCAATCACGAGAAAGTTGTTGAGTTAATTTAAGCATTTCCTGAGAAAATTTGAAGCGCTGTGTCTTGATGATATAATCGTGGACAGATTCAAATATATTCTGGTATACACAAGGAGTAAATTCTTTGTTTCCGTTCAAAATATTATCCAGGTTATAACGGGTAGTTGATATCCACAAGAGCAACGTGCACTGTCTATTAAATGTCTGTTATACTTATCGGCGATTGGGTCGCTAAATCCGAGCCTGAGGCGGCAGTGAACGATTTGACAAAAAAACAAGAGCCGTAATTAAGATCAATATAAATCTTTTTTCGGTTTTTGTAATTAGGTTTTAAAATTCTTTGAGACTGCATGACTCTTTGGAATTTGGCAGGGCATTCTATAAATTTATTGTGTCGGGTAGAAAGGGTTTGGCATGAGAGGCAGTTCTAATGGAAATTTCTTGTATTTCAGAGTTATTTCTTAAACTATAGCTTGTAGTTTCGGAGACGGATTAAATCTGAGTAGGTAAATTAATTTCTCTTTGATCATGAAGTTACCAACTTAAAGTGTTTAATTATTAATGACATTTACATGAGTATGTTAATCAATTTATCTTATAAAGTTTCATTAAGTAACCTCCACAAGATTCAGTTACATAGCAAATCAGTAATTAGCTAGGGTGAATCCATTCTATCAGACAGGGGAGTATGGTGTGTTTTCGTTGTTAATTACCTTCTCCACTGTCTCATAACTGGGAGTCTCACAACTGGGAGTTCTCACAAATGAGAGTAGACCGGCTACCCTAGTGTGCTGCTTTGTGAATCCCAGATCAATTGCAGTGTAAGTACTGTAGGTTGTTATAATACTATAGGTAGGTATTGCACTTAGTTATTGCAACACTGATCATAATTAGTAACTTTAGTAACTTTTGATTTGAACAACTGAAATGTTAGTGGTTATTTTACACATCCAATTGATTACTTTTGCTACAACAGATTTAGTTTGAAGATTCAGTACTATATTTACTGCCTTTTTTATCAATTTATATTTCATCTTCTCGGGAATATTTCAGCTTCCTCCTGCTTACCCATCACACATATCCACATATCATTGACTTTTAGATTTGTCTAAAACCTCAGAGACAAAGGTCATATTATTGATTTGCCAATCTTATATACAAATATCAGAGCAACTGCCGCCTTGCCACTTGACTGGTGTCTGAAATGTTCTCAATATAGTGCTCTCCATTTGGGCTAGCTTGCCTTTAAAAAAAAGAAATCTACTACAGTCTACCAGAATTGCAAGGCAAATATTAAAATATATTTAAAAAAGAAATATTCTGTGAAGGTATCGATACAGTCTACCAGAATTGCAAGGCAAATATTATGAATTGTATTGCAACCTCACAACCTCAATCTGTTACTTAGATTTTTGCACTTTCAATGGCAACATTGATCTGGGAGAAGCAAGAGAACTTTTGTTAATGTATTGATCAACTAAGATGCGTGTTTAAAAACACACTAGTAAAGCGCTATGGCTAGCTGGTTTATGGACATGTTAGAATCTTTGCTGTTTCAAACACTGCACTTGACCTTTATCAAACTGAGCAAACTGAGCAACCCTTTCAAAATGATAGTGACATTTCCAAATGAAATGGTTTATATTTGCAAGTATGTCAAGTAATACTCTGGATCCTCTTTCTCTCTTTCACTCTCACATTAATTTCATGATGCATTTTAGACTAGACCCTCGCAATCGCATTAAATTCGTGACGCATTAATATCATGATTTACAGTAATTACTTTATACCACATCCCTGTGGTTAGGGTCTCAATTTACTGTTAGGGTCAAACACTTCTCTGGACATGTGTATGTTATGAGATAAACTTGTCTAGGTGTCATATTTTCTTGGATAGCTCCATTCAGGTCTAATTGCCACCCAGTGTATTTGATGGGGCTTGTACCACAGTTGAGATTTACAATTTTTGATGTGCCAAGCATTCGGTGACAGTGACATCTCCTTCACTATGGTACCCCAAATCCCCTCTTCTACAGATCCACCATCATGTCTGTCCACTGAGATACTGTCTCAGAGACATTGTTCAGAGTGTGCTTGGCTCGATTGCATTAGTGGTTGTGAGTTCCCCTATAGACGTACACACTCTGGCTTCTGTGTGCACGTGTATCACATGCTGTCCATGCATGATGTGAAATCTTATTGTGGTTAGATGTTGCATTCAGATGCAACGCCTCAGTATTGTAAATGTACACCTCTATCATGGCATACAAATCATTAGTTCCCTTGGTTTTTGGCTGTAGCATAGATTATGAAGGCTGCTACACAAGTTTGTGGACACAGCAGAGTAGAATATGTGCATTTTTATTTGATTGGTTAATATTTATTAACTTTCAAGTCTGTTATAATATACCAACTATGTAATAACTCACGTATGGCCTGTTGTGGGTAGTATAGATAAGTCAATAGGGCAGTTGTGACATATACTGAGATTGTATCTATATGGCCGAAACATGATGTGTGTTTCAGTCATAGAACCAGTCACAGCCCAGGCGAGGCTGATCATCAGCACCGAGAACAATTCCCTGCCAAAGGTGTTTGCAGACTTCACCCTGGAGGAGATAGAGGTCCTTCTGTCCAGGCAGCAGGTGAGATGATGCATCAGAGCAGTACTAGTGATTGAGTGAGGGAATGAGTGTTTGCAGACTTCACCCTGGAGGAGATAGAGGTCCTTCTGTCCAGGCAGCAGGTGAGATGATGCATCAGAGCAGTACTAGTGAGTGAGTGAGGGAATGAGTGTTTGCAGACTTCACCCTGGAGGAGATAGAGGTCCTTCTGTCCAGGCAGCAGGTGAGATGATGCATCAGAGCAGTACTAGTGAGTGAGTGAGGGAATGAGTGTTTGTAGATTTCACCCTGGAGGAGAGAGGTCGTCCATACAAGCAATGGGTGAGAAGATACATGAGAGCAGTGAGTGAGTGAGTGAGGGAATGAGTTTGCAGACTTGTTCCTGGAGGAGATAGAGATTGTCCCATCTGGTAACATATGTGATAATGCATAAGTGGAACTCAGTGAGTGAGTGAGTGTTTGCTGACTTCACCTCCTGTCCAGGCAAATAAGGAAAAATGCCCAAACTGTTATAAGACCAAACCTACTTATCGAGAGGTCTTCATATTAGTTGTATTATCATCATTGTGATGCTCTTCATTCCATTGTAGCCACTTGTTTCCATTGGACAACTGCAAAGACAAGCATGTTCAAGCAGACATTTAGAATGTCTTGGAATTTATAACATATCAGGTCTTTCAGAAACACAATAATTGTAATTCTTGCAAAAATTGTTTTGATCAGTAAAATATCTAGATCTGATCTTGTTCAAGCTAAGGTATAAAAACAAACTTGTGGGTAATTACACAGGCAACTGGCACTATTGGCAAGAAGGTCACAACCAAATCTGCCTGACAAGTCTGTGATTATTGGAGGAACAGTGACACCTGCACTCAAACCTCACTGGTATCTTTAACTTCTTTCAGTTCCTGAATCTGTTGACACTGAGTGAGTCTTTCCAACTTATGAGCATCAACCAGCGGTACAGGAAGTACCACCCAAACATCCCTCTCAAGGTCAGCCCAAGGTCATGGTGGCATTATGCCAACACAGCCATCTTGGAGGAGATGATCCGTCCCTACTCCTGGGAGAGAATCAAAGAGCACAGGTCGTACATACTTAAACACTCTCTCACTTGTAGCTGCTGTCAGCCAGCTGACCTGAGTCAAATACTTAATTGCTGGCAGAGTCTGTCAGATCGTTGATGACAAGAGCAAATAATATTTCAGTCATACATAATTCAAGGCCAATATTGATGGAGTATGTTAACTGTTTTTGCAGGAACCAGTATCGGAAGTACAAGGACCTTTACAAGCGGAGCCTGGAGCGACCAGACCATGAGTCCATTCGCAGTAAGATATGGGAGCTGGAGGAGAACCTGGATGTATCAAACATATTGCTGGCCAGAGAACATGCCAAGGTGGAGGTGAGTGTACACGCTGCAGGGGGACATTAATCTGAATGATGCTGTCTAGAATAGCTAAATGGATATTCTACATGTTTGAGATAGCAAATATCAGGTTGTTCGCATATTATGGCAAATTACTCTGGACTAACATAACAAGGAGATTTAGGAGAATCTTTTTTTAACTGGCAAGAAGAAATCAGGGGCAAGCTCCAATCAGTTCAATGGGTGTACATTATTTTGCTGTGAAGCTCTGACACTGTACATGTCTGTCAATTTGTGTCATTTCCTTTTCTTCCTTTTGTTTTAAGTTTGCCCGTGAGGCCCCTGAACGAGCCAAACATCGACCAAAGAAAGAAAAGAAGGGCTGGTTTAGTTCTTGGTTTGGTGGCAGTGAAGATGAAGATGACTTTGAAATTACTGGCAAGGAGACACGTGAGTTGTTTTTCTATTTTGAATGCACTGCCAGAAGATACAATCAAAACATTTAAGATATCAAATCCTCAATTGTCAATCAAAGTTTCAGAGTCCTCAGCAAGCCTCAGAGTTTAAAACTTGTATTTACTTGTTGATGTATTTCATATCAAAAGACACTTGAGTGCGATTCTTTATGTTTCAATATTTCTGTAATAAAAGCATATCTTTGTAACATAATAAAACAAGGGTGTTGTATATCGACTGAAGAGAGCAGCCAATATGAGATTATATGGTGTATAAGTCTCATATCTCCCTGACAGAGGACTGGCTGGACAAACTCAGCAATGAAGAGAAAGAGAAACTGTATGATGGCATCGGCTACGACATCAACGCAAATACCCAAACATATGCACCGGAGGTGAGTTGGTGTAGCAAGTGTGGCATTAGCTATTCTGCTGCTATTGTTGGTTGCGCCAGCGGAATCCTAAATGTTAGTTAAGATGCATTATTACAGATCTCATCTGCAGTTTTATGTGTAAGGACAATTCTTCATAGCCTACTCAGTGTTATTACTACAACCTCTCTACTCTCTCTATAAAACTCAACAGGAGCTTGCTCAAGGCAAATTATGTCTTTAGTACCTAATAGTGTTGTGGGTTAACAGCTCCGTATCACATAATGATGAGATTGGGTTTCAGACATAATGTAGCTTCACTGCTATTTATTTATTTTAAAATTTGATATCATTTAAATGTGATAGTATTGGAATATTACACTACTTTCCTGGCTGTTAATAAGTAATTGCATTGTGATACCATAACAAGAACATTGACCAAGTCAGATGTAGATGGTATTTGGCGACTTGGATAACATATTGGGTGAGTGCAGCCAATGGTGTCAATGTCCCCTCTGTTCCAGTACGTCAAGCACAAGGTGCAGGTGATCCTGAAGAGCTGCTGTGTGTCCCTGGTCAACTACAGCAAGAAGATCCTGCAGGTGTCGGTCACTCACCTCCTGGCAACCTGGGAGGACCGACCAGCCACCGGCGCCTTCAGGTGAGTCAGCACGCCACCATTCCTGGAAGTCTTGGAGATAATCATTTTCAGAATAGCTCTGTTGATGTCATGGAATCAGTTACATGAATGATGCAGACTACCAGACATTAACTATTTATTTATTGACTACAGATAAAGCAGGTGATATTTACCTGAATGGTATCACAGCAGATGATCAGCTATTTGCAACAGTAAGATGGCTGTAGACATGATTATTCTAGAAAGAAAAGTTTCCCAAAGCTGCCTGATGATATTTTTTTTTACTTTTGTCACATTGAAATTCCACCACTTGAGCAATTTGAGAAAGTCTAATGGCCCACACCCTCAGAGTCAGGCACCTAATCGCCAGCACACAAAGTCAGACTACCAGTTGTCCGACTTCCATTTTTGTGGAAGCCACGGTGGCTGAGCGGTCTAGGCGTCTGACTTTGTGTGCTGGCGATTAGGTGCCTGACTCTGAGGGTGTAGGTTTGAGTCCCGGATGGGACTCAACCCAAAAAAAGTACTGGAATCTGTACTTTACTGAGAAAGTGTAATCCCAAATATAACAGATGTTACATATGAAGTCAGTTCTTGGTATGAGTTGCTAGGATATTCCTGAAATTTTGCCAAAATTAGGTAGAACAGAACTCACTCATTCACTCACTCAATAAATGTTGCTTGGTTTGGTGATGCATGTACTCTGTTGCATACAACACTTGTGGTTTACATTGAATATAGTGTTATACAGAATAGGTACAGTTTCTATTAAAAAGTGTCAGTAATCCCAAATCTGGCAGAATACACTAAGGGCATTTATTTCCTATTGTCTTGATATATTCATCTCATCCACTGAAGGCACATACACGATACAGTGTGTGCCAGTGTCAGAGTATGTGGTAAATGATAATGGTATGAAGTGTCAGCTGTTAAGGCTCATAATGCACATTGTTATCCATCTGATAAATCCAATAAACTTGATATCACAGTCTGATATATATGTAAATGAGATACATCCAAGGAGCTCCATGCATCAAAGCTATCTCTATATATAGTGACTTAGTAGTATCAATAGGTTTAGATTTAAAAACAATTTTTTTTATGTGTGGATACTTTACCATCATGAACATGATTCAATACAGTTTTCATTCCTGATATATTTTTATGATACAGAAGTTCCTCGCTTAATAATCCCTGTGTCTGCATTCTAGGATCTCCTCCAACACTGAGAGTTTCTCTATAGAGGGGGCTTCCATTGAACATGAGCTTATCCCGATCCTCACCTCGGACATCGGAGTCTATGGTGTGTACATATCTCAGTGTCAGTCAGAGACACTACAGTAGTAGTCATAATCCAGTCTTTGTATAGTCAACAGTGCCAAAGAAACATCAATGTTGAGGATATCATAAGATTTGACCTTTTCAATTTTATGTGAGAAATATTAAAACATTGTGTCCTTGTAGACTATAAATATGTCAGCAGTAATAGTTGTGTCCCCTGCCCCCTTATTGAACTATATTTGTATGACAATAAGCAGTGTCACTTGTATCCCCTGCCCCCTTATTGAACTATATTTGTATGACAATAAGTACAGTGTCACTTGTGTCCCCTGCCCCTTATTGAACTAATATGACAATAAGTACAGTGTCACTTGTGTCTTCAGCCCCCTCATTGTATTTGTATGAACAATAAGTGTGTCACTTGTGTCTTCAGCCCCCTCAGTGAACCAGGTGTGCACATTGGACTTCGAGGTGAAGCCGCTGTACGTGGATGCAGACTACTCCCTCAGTCTCAACATTCAGCCCGTCGAGATTGTCTATGACGAGGTGAGCAGATCAGAGTCTTCATTATCTTATGGTCCTGAGGCTTCAAATCTGATTGATATATTATGCATATAAGGAACACTGGGTAGTAGCGTGTAATATGTAACATATTGTATTAAGTTATCTACTGATGGGGAATCCAGGTCCCCTGCAACCTATGCTGGTTGTATGAGGCGACCTGATGAATCGGTCTGTGACCTCTTTGATTGCATATCCTTGTACTGCTACATCATGTATCATTGTTCGTATTTATCACTGAGTTATCAGCTTCCAACTCCATTATTGACAGGCAACCATCATGGATCTGCAATATTGTGGAGATAAGAACAACAACAGATATTTAGGTATATATTTGTCTCTGATTTGATTGAGTGTTTCCATACATTTCCAGCACTCAATCTCAGAAGTCACAGCGTTCTTCAACGTCCCGCATGGAGGGGTGGACATGAGGTCTGCTGCCATGGTGACGCTACAGGAAGTGGCCAAGTACAGCCGGGCAGGGCTGCAGTATGCTATAGAACAGCACAAGGTACATGACGTGATATGTCAGTGTATACAGAATAAATAGCAAGTCGTAGTCATAGTTATGTGTCATTGTATTACTTAGCTGATATTGTCATAACATGACACTTCTTTAGAATCCAAAGTTTCAAAATGTTTGGGGTTTTTAGTTTGAGTTTTGTCCATGATGATATTTATCTATCTTCATATTTAATGATGGTTTGAGTGCATTTGTTGGCATGATAATATCTTCTTGTTAACTCTTCAACTGTTAACTGTTAATTAGTAAGCTTCCTCTAATTTTCTACACCAGAGTGATGTCAGTGTGTTGTGTTTCAGACAGTGCATGTCGCCTTGAACATGAGATCGCCTTACATAGTGGTGCCAGAGTTTGGTACACTGCACAGGTAGGACATTCCTAGGTTGTGTGACCTATATAGTTAAGCCCCAATGTGACCTTGAACCACATGGAGGAGTCAAGGTTAGAACTGGTCCCCAGCAAGCTGTGCTTGTACAAGAGTGAGTGAGTGAGTTTAGTTTTACCCCGCACTCAGCAATATTCCAGCTATATGGCGGCGGTCTGTAAATAATCGAGTCTGGACCAGACAATCCAGTGATCAACAGCATGAACATCGATCTGCGTAATTGGGAACCGATGACATGTGTCAACCAAGCCAGCGAGCCTGACCCCCCAATCCCATTAGTTGCCTCTTATGCTTGTACAAGACAAATGAATGGATTGGGTGGTCAGACTATTGTGTTTCCTTGTACCTCTAGGTCAAGGGATCATAATATCAATCACTACTTTGTCTTGTCCAGAATGGAATATTTACAGAAATAATGCTGAGAGAGTGGCAAATAAACAAACAATGTAGCATCTACAGATATGATACTGCTAAAAGTGGTGTAAAACTCATCTCACTCACTCACTCACTCACTACCAGTCTGATGACAACCTGAAGCATTTGAAGAACATTTCCAGTTCCTCAAGCTGTTGAAATATTGTCTGTATTGAAAATGTTTAAAATGATTTCATTTTATCATTTCTGTACTCTCTATGCAGGGTGTTTTTTAAACAGACTGCAGCTTTATGAAAGGCAAGTTAAGATTGATCCACATCAAGACATGTCTTCAGTTATCTGATGACAGATCATATTATGATAGTGTCTGAATCTGGGGACCAGCCTAAATCTTTTACCATTACCGTAGTGATCCCTTGACATTCATCTCATTCATCTCATTCATGTCGTTTATTCAAAATTTCAAAAACTGACATGTTTTTGTTTTTCAGAGGAGGAAATGTTTTGATAGCTGATTTTGGAACGTTGAGGATAGAAAGTGAACTGCAGCCCAAAGATGTCAGTCTGGAAGTAAGTGTCACCATCTTGCATAGCTGGATGCTGTAACCTGATGGTCGATGGCCATACATCACATACAGTGTATCTGTATCAGACCCATAGTCAGCTAGTCCACGTCAGTCATTTCAAGTGGTTTCTGTCAAATTTAGTCCCACTATATTTTCTCCAGTATTGGATTAATAGACCATTGTGTATCCCAGTGCACTGTGATGATCTCATACTTTCATTGGTCCATACATTTGTGTGCAGGATGCAACGATGTCTGAGATTGAGTCCCGCCTGTATGATCAGTTCAACATCACTGTGAGTGACGTCAAGGTGCTGCTGGCAGACTCAGGTGAGTAAACATGAGTCCCAGGGGAAGTGAATGCCTCAAGGTTGTCACATAGCTGTGGCTGTCGCAGATGTGTAGGCTGTAAATATGCAGTTCATATAAAACTTTTTTTTTAAGAACTGAAGGTCTAAAAATACAGATTTTCTTAAATTTGGAAGATCAGGAATTGAGTATTACATGTATGGAATCTGTGTGTTGTGTCTCCAGGTGATGACTGGCACACTGCACAGACCCAACCTGACTCGGACTACCACATCCTTCCCAGTGTGCAGCTGGTCATGGCTTTCTTCAACGCTGTCCGCAGAGACTACAAGCAGCTGCCACAGTGAGTTGTGCATCACCTGCACCATCACCACCACCACCACCATCACCATCATCACCAACACCATCACCAACACCATCACCTGCACCAGCACCATCACCATCACCTGCACCATCACCTGCACCATCACCATCACTGCACCACACCACCACCACCATCACCATCACCACCACACCACCACCATCACCATCACCATCATCACCATCACCTGCACCACCACCATCACCTGCACCATCACCACCATCACCTGCACCACCACCACCAACACCACCACCATCACCATCACCATCACCATCATCACCATCACCATCACCACCACCAACACCATCACCATCACCACCACCACCACCACCACCACCACCATCACCATCACCACCACCACCACCACATCACCACCACCATCACCATCACCATCACCATCACCACCACCATCACCATCACCTCACCATCACCATCACCATCACCATCACCATCACCTGCATATCCATCACCATCACCATCACCATCACCATCACCACCACCACCACCACCACCATCACCATCACCATCACCACCACCATCACCACCACCCACCATCACCATCACCATCACCATCACCACCACCATCACCACCACCACCACCACCACCACCACCACCATCACCACCACCACCACCACACCATCACCACCACCACCACCATCACCACCACCACCACCATCACCATCACCACCACCACCACCACCATCACCATCACCATCACCACCACCATCACCACCACCACCACCATCACCACCACCATCACCACCACCACCACCACCACCATCACCATCACCATCACCACCACCACCACCACCATCACCATCACCATCACCATCACCATCACCATCACCATCACCATCACCATCACCACCACCACCACCACCACCATCACCATCACCATCACCATCACCACCATCACCATCACCATCACCACCACCATCACCACCACCACCACCACCACCACCACCACCATCACCCACCATCACCATCACCATCACCCATCACCACCACCACCACCACCATCACCATCACCATCACCATCACCACCACCACCATCACCATCACCACCACCACCACCACCACCACCACCACCATCACCACCACCACCACCACCACCACCACCACCATCACCATCACCATCACCATCACCATCACCACCACCACCATCACCAACACCAACACCATCACCACCACCACCATCACCACCACCACCACCACCACCAGCACCATCACCATCACCTGCACCACCACCATCACAGTCTCATCAGCTGAATACACCAGCTTCCACACAACGGTCATGGAGCTGTGACCCATTTCTTGACAGGCTTACAATAGTCATAGTGCTAACATCGTTTTGTGCAAGTGGACCGATACAGTTTAGAGCATTTGAAAATTATACAGTCCTTCCAAGCACAGGAACAAAGACAGTTCCAAGTCTCACTCACTGACTTTGCCATGAATTACTTTGAACTATCCTTGCTGTGGTATCAAACCTCAACACTCACCCACTCTTCAAATAGAATCTTTTGTCAGTCTGCAGTGTGTTTCTGCCCTAAAGCACAGGAACAAATACAAGTTCACCCTCCCATTGCCTTCCCCACCTTTATTTACTTTCCTAAATACAGTATTAAATGTATGCTTCCTCACTCACTCTTCAGACAGAAGCTTGTTGCCAGTCTGCCGACCATGAAGCTGAACATCTCTGACAAGCGCCTCCTGTTGCTCACGTCCTTCTTCCGCAACTTCCCCATCCCAGCCAGCACCAGCATGGCCACCCTTGGTGAGGACATGGTGGACAGCTGCATTATCATCCAGCCCGCCGTGCCGCTGGTGAGTACATCCTCCTCCAGTGTAGGGAGGCATCCTATCTATGTATGTACAGTTTGTGCATGGCATTCGCAGATCATGTAGTGTGAATTGACTAGTCTAGCAAGGCTTGGTAAAGGAGAAATTGTCACCTGTTGTGTCAGTGTTACTTGCATGTTCCGAGTTGCCTTGACTGCAACAACAAACGTGACGTCATCATAATGGTTAAATGTTAACAAGCAGATGTACGAGCATCAGGTGTTGCTTGCACCCTTGGCTCCAATACAGGAGGCAGTAATCTCGCCTGGGTCCATCTTAGAGTGTGAGCCCACCCTAGGCCCATCGGTAGGAACATTGTTGTGGTCATCCCGCATCTATTGGTCTTGCTAACTAAAGTTATAAGCCAACTATGGTGGACCACATTGTTCAAGCTATTTTTCAATCACACTGTTGTTTTTTTTACCAATGCTGATATGGGTTGTCATCAATTGCTTTATGCTTGCCAGACATTCTTTTCTGCAAGTGTTTTCGTGATCAAAATCTGACGGTCCCAATACTGGTGATGAGGATATTTAATGTGTTCAAGGTGACAGTTGTGCATTGGTGCAATGTGGACAAAAGACTTGTGCACAGGTGCATCGTTCTGGTTGAACTACACAGGTTTTTCATGATTTTTAGCCTTCATATTCTTGTGCAGTTGCCTAAGCAGGTTAGCATAATATTGGCCATTTATGGTTTGAACTTAGGGGAAATAGTCCACCATTAAGATTCCTTCAGAGCCCCAGAAAATAGTCATCACCTTACCAGCTGATAGAACAGCCTTATCCTTCTTCAGAGAATACATACAATGTTTCTACTGCATTGACTTGTTTAAACTGTGGCCTCTGGTTCAGTCTGCTTCAGCCTCTGGCTGCAGTGTGTTGAACCCAGATTACTAAGAAAAATTGTCTGGATCTGCTTCAAAACAGCATAAGTGTTCATAAGTGACCAAGAACCATGACGGTTTCTGATCACTGGTCCTTCGAACCTTGGAACCCTGCAGGCAGAAACCTGACCTTTCCAGATCATTTTCAAGGCTCTCTTTTGCACTCTGGAGCTAAGCTGCTCCTCCCTAAGAAGAGACAAAGAAGGAACATCATCCCCTAGCGTGTTTTATGTCCACATGTTGGCTGTAGGAACAGGTCCTGTCTGTTGAAGGTACTTTCTGTCAGCAGGATAACCAATTGGGTCCATTTCCACCAACATGGACCAAGTAAGTTTGATGCCTGCAGAAATATGATGCCTTGGCATGTATTTAGTTTAAGTTTATACTGTAAGCATTGGAAGTATTGTAATTTATACATGCAAGCTGTTGAGGGAAATTGAACAGGACTTTACAAACTCCCATTATACACGCCACTTTAAGAAATAACATTTCTGCTGTAAGACAATTATCACACATACAAATCCAAGCCCCACACTTGTGAAGCATCTATATTCATTACCACCATGTTGTATGAACCATTTCAGGTAACTTGTAAAGGTGCCAAAAATGGTAAAACTAGAGATAAAGTAAGAAACAGATTTCATTCATCAATAAGTTTGTTGATTGTTGTAACAAAATGTTTATGGATGTGTGACTCCTTACCCTCAATGATATTCTTGATTCACAAATTAAGCGAATGATTGACTTTGCACATCATTAATTTCAACTGGAGAATGTGTGTCTTCTATGCCTCTGTCCTTCACTTTCTGATAATGTCTGCAGTATCTGCATGACGCCAGGAACACCTGCTATCACGACTTACAAATGACAACCAGTCATATATCTGTCTGAGAGCCTGTAACCAAGTCTGTCTAATCCTTGCACTTTTTAATCAATCTTTTTCCAGCATGGTCGACATTTCATTGTTTTCGTTGTTTCACCGATAATAACAGATTTTGTTTTACTTCAGAAGCTAATGCATTTGTTGTGTTAAAATGTTAAAATGGCAAAAACATCTAGATAACAAGATACTGCAGCAAATTATTAATTGTCATTTGTCCTTATCAGAAGACTGGGGCTCCAATAAATGTTTTTGTTGGCGTCTTAGCTGAACAGCATAATGTGTGAAGAAGGCCCTATGCTACAGGAGGGGCTCTTTTAGCTTCTAATTCATTGTCTATAGTCATATCTGTCAAAATAATTTTCAAGTTTTCATCGTTTTGCTGCAAGTATTGATGATAATGTCACAGTAAATTTTCCCTCAAGTTGTTTGAACTTAAAAAATGTAAGTGAGTGAGTTGGGCTTTACGCCGCTTTTAGCAATATTCCAGCATCATCAGGGCGAGGGACACCAGAAATGAGCTTCACATTGTACCCGGTCCCATATGGGAAATCTAACCCACCTCCCTTTAAAATGTGAGCAAACGAGTTTGTAAAGAAACTGTTGAAGGCATCTGTTTCATCCATTGCCACCAGGTATGAGGTGAGGTGGGGTTTAACGTTGTGTTGAAGATTATTGCCCATAGAGTATGTGTGACATGCATGCGTTTATGTGTGAGGTGGTCCAACCCGATGTGCATCAGATAAAACATGTATATTTGGTTAGACTTCATGTATTGTGTATTCCATCAAGAAAAGGAAGGAAAACATACTAATTTTTTCATGGTATTCTGTAAATGAATTGAGGCAGGATATTTGGTTTTGAGGCTGCTTTAATATAGATGGAATATTGCTAAGAGTCACATAAGAAAATATGAATCAGTTGGGTTGAAAATCTCACAATTAATTTATAATGGCCTTATGAGAATTTCATCATGAGACTTAGCGTAGCTCTTTGGAAAGAGCTTGAGGTTTGTACGTATATCATTGTACATTGTGTCAAGTTGCTGGAGACAAGTGAGACAGAATGAAGGTAAGATTGTTCAATGTATATTCCTGCCCTTGTTCCCATCCTTAATGTATGCTTATCTAACTACAGGATCCATCAGAGACCCAGGTGGAGCCAGATGTTAACACCTTAAGGAGGATGCGACGCTCAGTGCTAGGGAGGAAGGTGGTGGTCAAGAATGATGGGAGGAAGAAGATGAAGAAGAAGGAACATGTCCTGTCTTCCCAGTCATCAAGAAATAGTGCTGGTGAGTTCCGTATGGGCAGCAGCCATATTAGAAACAAAACTGTATTAGAAACATGTTTGAAAATGTAATATCCCTGAACAAAACTATCTATGGTATAACTTTCCATGTTCCCTTGTCTGAAACTGTACTTAGTGAACTTAATGTGGATGATAACAGTGCCCCACACTTAAGCTCACAAAATTGTTACCTGATTTTAAAGATGGCTGCCATGACAGTCAAAGGTGAGCTACAGAGCCTCATGGTTGTGTTTTCTGGAATAAGACACCTTTGTAAACACTAGATATTATATACACCTGTGTAAATTGTACATATGTAATTGTATATATGCTTGTTGTTGGCGCAACAAGAGCTAAACCAAATAAATAACTTTTAACAGTAAATGTCCGTGCATCAACATGTCAACTTTGTGAATGTATGTTCCAGGTGAAGAGGTGTTTTTCTCTGCATCAGATCATTCAGACGAGGATGTTGATGAGTGGTCTGAGTGAGTACATGCTAATTATAACATTCGACAGGAATAATAATCTTCTATATGGTTGTACACACTTTTGAACATTATTTCAAATTAATTGACTTATCCTTTGCTCCACAAACTGGTTGTAGGGTTGAAGGTCATTGTTATGATCAGTCATGAGAAAATAGCTAGCTAATACCTGGTCATCTGTACAGGTTTAGACATAAAAGTGAGAGTAATTCTATGGAAAAGACTTTGCAGTAGGTTTAATTGCATTAAAAGTGTCTGAAAGGAAGAGAAATTGTATTGAAACAACTAGAATTGAAAAAATTTCAAATTGAAAAGGCCTGGAATCTGTCAGTAAGTGATGTGTGGCAGATGTTTCTCTTTGTTTGTAAAGCATAATTCTCTGTGTCCATATCTCATCAAGAAAAACAAACATAGGCTTATAATCCAGTTTTCATTCATTGTGTTGAAGCACCAGTTGGGGTTCAGTGTATTTAACCCATTCTTTAGAAACCTCATAGTAAGGTTAAACCTCAGTAATAGACACTTTGACCTTGAAGGTTTGGCATATATGTTTTTGTCTGTTCCTTACAGTTTCCTGCACATCAAGCCTGTTGATGACAGCACCTTCCCCTCCAACTCCGTCAACATACTGATCAGGATGACCCTCGGGGAGTTTGTCATCAACCTGTCCCGGGTCCTGGACAAACACGAGACTCCATATCTGATGTTCCGGGTCAACCGACTGCGTATCGACTCTGCAATGACGGTGCATGGCCACGCTGTCCATGCAACACTAGGAGGAGTGCAGCTGGTCGACAAGATCCATGTGGGTGAGTCATTGGGTTGTGGCCATCACTTGACTTACACATGGTCTCATTAGACTGCTCAGTTAGATGTGCTGTTTTCCCAAGTTATGTTTCTTGGCTTGTAGACTGGAGCAGTTTCCACTTGGTTATAAATTTGAAATAAAAAGTCTTCAAATATGTCTCTCATTGAGTTATAAAAATCAGTATATAGGAGAATGGAGGACGTATGACCCACTGAATACAGTAATGATATATCGCGAAGAATATGGTCAGTGATATGTTGAGCACACTCACACACTCACTCACTCACTCACTCACTCACTCACTCACTCACTCACTCACACACTCACTCACTCACACCCACTCACTCACTCACACACTCACTCACTCACTCACACACACACTTAACACTCAACACCCGCACTCACACGCTCTGACAACTTTTGTTTTGTCCTCTACGGCCATTAGCTGTTGCACTTAGTGACTCTATCAACACTGACAGATAATGTCACCTAGTTCAATCCAGGAATGTTTCCTTGTTTCTTTCCACTTTCTGGACATACAGTCCTGGTATCCCTAGCTATGTGTGTGTTCCTGTATACACTGCTGTATGTGTGTCCTATGTTCTCTCCACAGGTTCATCAGGAGAGTACATGGAAATCCTGGGCACAAACTCAGCATCAGATCTGGTCTCCATTGTTTACAGAAAGGTCAGTTCAGGGAATGTCATTCAGAATGATCACCTCCTACTCTAACAGTCTATTGCGGTCAAGAGTCCGATAGAACGCTGTCAAGGAGTCACACAAGGTTTTGTCTTTGATTCAGATGTGATTTTCCTTACATGAGACCCTTAAGAAACTTCCCTGAGATGATTGCCTTTACACATGACTCCCCACTTGCTATTGTTTTTAGTTGAGAGCTATCCTATCAACCATTAGTTTGTCTGATCCAGGCTTGTCACATATCCGTAGACTGACTATAGCTTGTAACCCTGATCACAGTCTATAGAAGGACGTGGTTGTGTCCATCCTATCAACCATTAGTTTGTCTGATCCAGGCTTGTCACATATCCTTAGACTGACTATAGCTTGTAACCCCGCTCACAGTCTACAGAAGGATGTGGTTGTGTCCATCCTATCAACCATTAGTGTGTCTGATCCACCCTGTCACATGTCCGTAGACTGACTATAGCTTGTAACCCCGCTCACAGTCTACAGAAGGATGTGGTTGTGTCCATCCTATCAACCATTAGTTTGTCTGATCCAGGCTTGTCACATATCCGTAGACTGACTATAGCTTGTAACCCTGCTCACAGTCTAAAGAAGGACGTGGTTGTGTCCATCCTATCAACCATTAGTGTGTCTGATCCACCCTGTCACATATCCGTAGACTGACTATAGCTTGTAACCCCCCTCACAGTCTACAGAAGGATGTGGTTGTGTCCATCCTATCAACCATTAGTTTGTCTGATCCAGGCTTGTCACATATCCTTAGACTGACTATAGCTTGTAACCCCGCTCACAGTCTACAGAAGGATGTGGTTGTGTCCATCCTATCAACCATTAGTGTGTCTGATCCAGGCTTGTCACATATCCGTAGACTGACTATAGCTTGTAACCCCGCTCACAGTCTACAGAAGGATGTGGTTGTGTCCATCCTATCAACCATTAGTGTGTCCGATCCACCCTGTCATATATCCGTAGACTGACTATAGCTTGTAACCCTGCTCACAGTCTACAGAAGGATGTGGTTGTGTCCATCCTATCAACCATTAGTTTGTCCGATCCACCCTGTCATATATCCGTAGACTGACTATAGCTTGTAACCCTGCTCACAGTCTACAGAAGGATGTGGTTGTGTCCATCCTATCAACCATTAGTGTGTCTGATCCACCCTGTCACATATCCTTAGACTGACTATAGCTTGTAACCCCGCTCACAGTCTACAGAAGGATGTGGTTGTGTACATCCTATCAACCATTAGTGTGTCTGATCCACCCTGTCATATATCCGTAGACTGACTATAGCTTGTAACCCTGCTCACAGTCTACAGAAGGATGTGGTTGTGTCCATCCTATCAACCATTAGTGTGTCTGATCCAGGCTTGTCACATATCCTTAGACTGACTATAGCTTGTAACCCCGCTCACAGTCTACAGAAGGACGTGGTTGTGTCCATCCTATCAACCATTAGTTTGTCTGATCCAGGCTTGTCACATATCCTTAGACTGACTATAGCTTGTAACCCCGCTCACAGTCTACAGAAGGATGTGGTTGTGTCCATCCTATCAACCATTAGTTTGTCCGATCCACCCTGTCACATGTCCGTAGACTGACTATAGCTTGTAACCCCGCTCACAGTCTACAGAAGGACCTGTTTGTGTCCATCCTATCAACCATTAGTTTGTCCGATCCACCCTGTCATATATCCTTAGACTGACTATAGCTTGTAGCCCCACTCACAGTCTACAGAAGGACGTGGTTGTGTTGCAGGTGGAGCCGTCATGTCCTGACTTCAGTGATGGTTACGGCGGCGTAGAGCATGCCCTGCTGCTGAAGCTGCACACACTGTCGGCGCTGTGCGACCAGGCCAGCATGATCTACCTCAACGCCTTCATCCAGGGGCTCATCACCAGGTAGGTGATTGCAAGCAAGTTCTAAACTGACCTGAACATTCATTATAATAATTTTTTCCATAACATAATTGTTATAAGAAAGGGGTCTGTGTTGAGTAATTGTTACCATTGTTTACTGGTTGACATTGCGAATATTCTCTCAAATAATTTGAGATTAATTACCTTGAAGGAAAGAGCTCATTTCCGAATGTTCCAGTAATGAATCACATAGGCCACAGTGGTCCTGCAGTGGTTTGACTGTTTCACCTCATTATTTCCCCAGTTTATGTCGGGCATGACGAGTGTCCAAGAAGTCGTGTATGTTTCCACAATGGGTTTAGGATTCTGGGATTGTAGGTTCCAATGCCTGCTCGTCCCAAGTATGTTTCTAGGTTTGTTTGCACCCAGCCATGTTCTCGTTGGTGTCACCAAAGTTGCAAACGGCAGAGAACTGTGTCACTGTGCTCTTTCCTGACGCATAATGGTGACAGGCTGGAATACCTTTACAGATGGTGGTAAATCCATTGCTCACACTGATACATTGTGTTGTAGTGTGCATAGCATGGACATGAAGACCAGCACCAGCACCGTGATCTCCTCCTCGGACCTCAACAACAAGGACCGACCCTCCCTTACTGAGCGACTCACATCCATCACTGATGAAGGTACATAGCCTGTTTAAACAGTTTCTGCTTTTCCTGGCTCGGACTTGAATGTCTATATTCAGCCATACTCCAGCTGGAACAATAGCAGGGAACAACATACACAGTTTCCTTTCTCGGAGTCTTTCTTTTGTCCTGTTGTTTGATTTAAGTCCTGCACAAATTTTTAGGAATGATCTTACCGGTACATGTTTCTACAGCTGTTGCTACTTCTGGAAGCTTATGATTCTTTTCAGTAAATTTGGTTTTAATAGTTTGTTTTTATTTAGTTATTTGCCTAAAGGAAAAATATGATTATATTTTTAGGGCCTTACAGACCCATATGACGAGGGGATAGATGGCCTGGAATATAGGGGAGGGAGAAACAATAATCTAGAGAGAAATCTGGATATACATAAGTTCTAAATGTATTTTTTCAATATAATGAAAGTAACTATTGATCAGGTCAACTTAATGTATGATAGGTTTGGCTTCTATTGACTTTCATATTTTTGTTGTTCCATTAAAACCTTTGTCCCTGTATTGCAGTGGACTACCTTCCTCCACGGTGTATCAAACTCAACATGGTGGCCAAACTGGAGAACTTGAGTCTCCGACTGTGTGACTCGGAAAACAGCCTCTCCCATATTGACATCACAGGTGAGTTCACACAGGACTGGCAGATTCTCAAGTCAGTTGTCCTATGTCTTGTTACACCAACAATCGCCAGACACATTTTGTTTTTAACATCTGTACCTCTTGTATGTTCTATTGTACTGTTTTGAAAAATATATTTGAACAATATTGTCAGATAACGCTACCAAGCACTGTTGTCCTTCCTGGAATAATTAACTGATGTTTATCATGGCCTGGTGCTTTTCATGCCTTGGTTTTGGTTGCCTAAATTTCTTTACAGCTAATCATTGAATCTAGTAGTTATCATATTGGATCTTTCCCATACATTTGTCACAAACATACTTCTACTGTGGTCACATTTGTCACAAACATACATCTGCTATGGTCACATTTGTCACAAACATACTTCTGCTATGGTCACACTTGTCACAAACATACTTCTACTATGGTCACATTTGTCACAAACATACATCTACTGTGGTCACATTTGTCACAAACACTTCTACTGTGGTCACATTTGTCACAAACATACATCTGCTATGGTCACATTTGTCACAAACATACTTCTGCTATGGTCACATTTGTCACAAACATACTTCTACTATGGTCACATTTGTCACAAACATACATCTACTGTGGTCACATTTGTCACAAACACTTCTACTGTGGTCACATTTGTCACAAACATACTTCTACTGTGGTCACATTTGTCACAAACACTTCTACTGTGGTCACATTTGTCACAAACATACATCTGCTATGGTCACATTTGTCACAAACATACTTCTACTGTGGTCACATTTGTCACTAACATACTTCTGAGATGGTCACATTTGTCACAAACATACATCTGCTATGGTCACATTTGTCACAAACATACTTCTACTATGGTCACATTTGTCACAAACATACTTCTACTGTGGTCACATTTGTCACAAACATACATCTGCTATGGTCACATTTGTCACAAACATACTTCTACTGTGGTCACATTTGTCACAAACATACTTCTACTGTGGTCACATTTCTCACAGACATACATCTACTATGGTCACATTTGTCACAAACATACATCTGCTATGGTCACATTTGTCACAAACATACTTCTACTATGGTCACATTTGTCACAAACATACATCTGCTATGGTCACATTTGTCACAAACATACATCTGCTATGGTCACATTTGTCACAAACATACATCTGCTATGGTCACATTTGTCACAAACATACATCTGCTGTGGTCACATTTGTCACAATCATACATCTGTTATGGTCACATTTGTCACAATCATACATCTGCTATGATCACATTTGTCACAAACATTCCCTGTATGACTGAACCACTTGTCCCATCCATATATCTTCTATTATGCTAATGTATTCCAAGCTGTGTAGTGCCATGATGTGAAAAGTTCTTGTGAATATGTTGTTTTTAGGTTTGGAGAGCCACATCCTTGCCAAAAGTATGAGGACAACTGTACGATTACGTCTCAAAGACATGTCCGTCCAAGACTGCTCTGTTGGTGCCATATTCCCTAGGGTAAACACTGCCTTGTCACTCTGAATATACTCCAGTTGATAACATATGCACTCCATAAGATACAATTTACTGTACTTTACTTTACTATGTGATAAATATTATAACTCTATGTGATAACCTGACTATCCTCATAGTGATAAATAAATATACTCCACGATGCACTTAACAATGTCATTTCCTGTTTTTATTTTGTTTCAGTGGAAACATACAGGTTACGATACAAACTAATGGGAATGTCTAGTATTGTTTCAGTTTTGTCCAAAGAGAGTTTTTTCAAACTTAAAAGTTTTGTGCTAAATATTTTGTCTTGCCTTGCAGATCTTAGTAATAGAAGATGATAGCTGCTTTGATCTGAAGGTGAGGGTACAGAACATGTGTATAACTTACACATTCAAGTCTGTTATGTATCTTTTAGATATGTTGATGCAGGTGAATGTATGTTCAGAATTCTGTCGTGTATTTGTTGTGTTTTGGATACCTAAATTAGCCTCGGCTGTTTCATTTCATTTTTAACTATGATACACATACAAGGGATAATATTTTTATTTTAACTTTTGTAATATGAGGACATCCATGAATTTACCCTATTTTATGTGTACCACTTCTAAATGTTATTGAAATCCCTGAATCAACACTTAGCTGCAGTAGCAGCTGATCTATTTAACAGTTACATGGACTGATATGGATGTTGTATGTGTTTGTTTATGTTCAGTTTGTGAAGTACAACAAGAAGTACGAGGGTCGTGTTGACAACCGGCACCAGCACCAGGCTCTGGACTACAGCATCCGGCTCCGTGTTGGGCAGCTGCAGACTGTCTATCTCAGCAAGTTCTACTGGGAACTCATTGTGAGTTCAACTACATGTACTCTCAACTTATGATTGTCACTTGTCCTTCTCTCCAAAAAGTAGAATTATTATAAATAATGACAGATTTCAGTTTCATATCATGGCGGAGGTTCAGCTTTGGAAGGATTAATAGCCATGGTCAGTTTTCCTGATATATTTTGTTTTGTTTGTTTATTGTTGTATAAGCCCGCACTCAGCAATATTCCAGCTATATGGCGATGGTCTGTAAATTATCACTTCTGAACCAGACAGTCCAGTGAGCAACAGCCTGAGCATCAATCTATGCAACTGGGATATGATGACATGTCAACCACGTCAGCAAGCCTGACCACCCGATCCCATTAGTTGCCTCTTATGACCAGTTCTAACCCTGATCTTCATGGGTCTTTCCTGATGTAACATTTCTACATGATTATTGAAATTATGTCAGTACAGATTGTTTGATTAGGCCTGTATAATGTATAACATGTTTCATGCCATTAATAATTTTCTGTTTCAGAGATTCTTTGAGCCATTTATAAACCCGGAGATGACTGAGGCTGCCAAGGCTGCTGCCATGGAAACAGTTCATAGACAGGTGTGTAAGGCTGCTTGCACAGCAGTATCTCCACAGACCATATGAGGGTAGTAAAGGGACATTTACAAAATTTGTCTTGTTTACCTTGAGGTACATTTAAAGTTCAATTTGAAAGACTTGTTTTGAATAGTTGAAATATATCTCTTAACTTTATGGATTGTCTTCATGGAACAATTGCGGTAATACAAAGCATTAGTAATTATTTGCAGTAGAGTTTCTGCAAAATTGGTAGGGTGTACTGGATCTATAGTTGTGGAGTTAGGGAATTAGGGTTTTCCACATGGATATAGAGTGTCAGAGGATTCTGCTTGGCCTCCATTGTTATGCGGTATTACTGACAGCAGTAACCTCAGTGACATGTCTGTTCCAACCCTTACTCTTTCAATCACCACACGCCTCATTCAATCACCTCAATCATCTCCTATCTCTCTCTCACTCACTCACTCACTCACTGTGTGATGTTCTGTCCATCCAGGTGGATGACATACAGTCTCAGAATGTGCGTATCAGCCTAAACTTGGACCTGCGCTCCCCAACCATCCTGGTCCCCCATGACTCCAAGTCCACCGAAATGTTCATGCTCAACCTCGGCAACCTCAACATCAAGAACTACTTCGACTTCACCAGCATCCCCCCCCCGACATGAAGCAGGAGTGGAATCACATCTACATCAACCTCAGCTCAGTCAAAGTTAACAGGTGAGTGTCTTGTGCTCCACTGCTGAAGGGATACATTGACTCAGAATCTTCTTAATTTGTATTGTGCATTTGTTGAGCTACTCTGGATAGAGGAAGGTGTCACCTGCTGTTGGATTGTTGCTGATGTTATCAACCGTTGGTTCATCTAGTCCAGACTTCGTAATCTCCTCAAAGCGGTGTGGCCTGCTATAACATGTAAGTGTGTACTCACTCTTCCTGTTACAGGGTCCAACTGTCTCTAGCTGATGATGTGTGCAACATCCTTCACAATGTACTGGAGCCTGTCAGTCTCAAGGCTGATGTCCGCATGGCGATCAAACCTGTACTGTCTGATGTCAAACTTGACATCTCTGGGCATCTTGAGAAGGTCAAGGTCAGTAACATCAGAAGCCAGATGTTGTGTATTACGTCTTGAGACTTAGTTCTTATTCAGGCAGGGGAACCATTACGTCATGATAACTAAATCACTTAGAGAGTTATTAGTGACTGTGGATTTCTGTCTGTTGAAAAAAAAAAAAATAGGTGTGACCCCTAAGTAGAGAGCCACTGCCTCATGTGTGTTGTAAGAGCCACAAGGGCCCATTCCGTCCTTATCGAGGGGAGTGCTAACCTTCTCTCCTTTCTAACAACACACTTATTGAAAGTGAACAGACTGTATATATAAGCACAAGAGGCTGTTTGCTGTCATTGTTAGGTTGAACTCATTAACATTCTCAGACCACAAGTAATCTCATTAAATTCAGGGTTTTTTCCAGCATTTGTAAATGTTACTATTTGACTTTCTCCAGTTGTGTTTTCAAATGTGGTTTTAGTTTTAAATTAATATCAGTATTAGATATTTACTGAGAGTCAATAATAATATGTGTTAGGGTTGAACTGGATGCAATTTTAGGATTTGATGAAAAGGAAGTTATCAGAGCGAAGTCTGCAATCCAGGTTATACACCAATAACACTTGAGAGTACATCATCCATGTTAGCTCGTTATGTGTTAATAGTTGCTCAATATTACTGTTTTCGTGTTGTCACAGGTTAATATACTAGCCAAGGATCTGCAGCTGGTGAGAGGCATCCTGAAGGACAACTTGTCAGAAGGAGCTCCACAACCAACGTCAGGTAAACAGAGTCTGTAGAACACAGGATCAAAGTATGACATAGTATTCTCTTTGAGTTCACTTAAACAAGAACTGCATCGGTGAGTTGACTTAAACAAGAACTGCATGGATGACTGTTATCTAACGTGACACAACTCTATGCAGAGTTATGTCCCTTAGTTGACATCTAATGCTACAGTCCCAGATTTGCCCCAGTTTTGTGTATTTGTTGACCTATTTGTATAAATAGTTAAGTACAGACTTTGTTTACTTCTTTGTAATTGAGGAAATTATATGTTGCTTTGGTGACAGGTATCTATGAGTCCCCGACAGTCCAGGACCTGCACTTCCAGCATGAACTGAGCATCGACACCACCACACCCGTCAGCGAGACGAGGGAGAGTCTGGCAGACTCCGGACACAAGGCATCCACAAACTTTCTGTTCCGCGTCGAGGGAGTTTCAGCAACTCTGTTTGAACAGAGCTCTCCAGAAGAGGTGAGACACTTGTCTCCTACACATCCAGTTTCCAAAATGTGTGATTAAAACTACCTGTGTTAAATTATGAGGATCATCCTCCCTTATTGGGAGTTATATCTGTCCAAAGTGAATGGGTAATCCTGTGGTTAAAGCATGTGCTTGTCTTGAGAAAGGACTTGGTTCAATTCCCACTTGCTAAAAGTGGGGTAAGACTGTATGACTCATAGCACTCAATGATTAAACTCAATTAATCATGAATTCTGTTATGAAACTGTCATGGATGTTGATACTTTTTACCATCAGAACTCATTGTCACTCTCATATTAAAATGATCTGTTGGGATCCAAGGGAAGGTATGGAAATAGACTGACATTTCAGTTTACCGCTCAGTGAAGTTGTTACCATCACCTGTTTTCCAGGGTTCTCTGTGCAACAGCCTCTGCTGCATGGACATGGAGAACATCAACCTCAGCGCCATCAGTCAAAGTGATGGTGATCTCAAGGTCACATTCGCACTCACCTCCCTGTACATAGATGACATAAGGCCGGACAGTGACCTGGCCAATAAACGGTAAGTGTGTCACGCTACAACAGCAGACGTCATATTCTGTGTCTGCCTACTTCCTGCAGTCAGTCAGAATCTCTGTTTATGTCATGTACTGGACCAGGATGGAGATAAACGTCATATCCTGTGTTGTTACTGTGTGTGTCAGTGTCTGTTTCTGTGTTTCCAGGGTGCTGTACTGTGCCAGAAAGCAGCAGACGTCAGACGAGCTGCCTCTCATGTCACTTATCTACAAAGTCAGCAGTGATGGCAACCAGAAAGGTGAGATGGCTGGGGTCGATTTTAGTTCATGATTATGATTTCTGTGATAACTTATGGCACTAAGATCACTTTGAGGAACCAGACCAAATTAGTCTGTAGTTTTAACAATGTTCATTTTAATTGTTGAAACTAATTACACTTGATGCTGAATAACATGTCATTCAGTGTTAATGCTCCCTTTGTTTAATAAGTACATGTAGTATTGAGGCAAATTGATAGGACAGATGCAAAAACATTCAATACAGATGTCAGATGTAAAGACAATGTGGATATTCCCTCTTTACTACTTCCTGCCTCTACATACCAGCGGACCTCATGGTGGAGAAGCTGCGTCTGAACGTGTCGGTGCCGTACGCCATGGTGCTCTACTCCTTCTTCCAGTCCTCCTTCCAGACCATCGGGGACACCAACAACTACTCCATGGAGGCCTCCACCATCTCCACCCCTTCAGTCCAGTCACCTCCCACCACCACGCTGAGCGTGTACGGGTCACTCAAACAGCCAGAAATCGTCCTGTATGCTGACCCCTGCAACTACGACAGCAGGGTGATCGTGCTCTATGTGAGTGAACAATCCTCATGTATAATTTATGAAACATTTGTGTGTGACCTCCTTCAGATTCTGAGTTTGTAAGTTTCAAGTGCAAATGGAGTCAATCTTGATGTGACGAGCCAGTGACATTAGAAAGGTCAATGTTTACAAAGGCCAACCGACTTTTGTTTGGGTTTGGCGACAGGCCAGCCAGGAAGCCAGAGTGTTAAATGGATAAGGATAATGGTATATACAAGTATTACGTATGATACATTATATGTAAATCTGCACCTTGGTGTTCGTGTACAACAAACACTAGCATGCAGCTTCATTTTTGCGTCAAAACGGAATATGTAAAATATTATTTAAATACTTTGTGATATAAATTTTATGATAACAATATTTGTTTCATCACAGGATTGTGAAGTAATTTTGCAAATGTATCTCATAGGCGGACGTAGCATTTGAGTACCGGACAGACCAAGAGAAACAGTTTTTCTGGTCTCGGGTGTCGAACCTGCAGATGGCGTCCTGCATCCGAACCTGGGACTCCTCCAGCAAGAGTGTGGTAGGTGTTACCATTATGAACAACTGTGTGTGACAATTAGGGAAACATGAACATTCAGGCCTATAGATAATCCCTTCATCGAAGCCTTATGCTCTGAAAAAAACTGGAAGATACCTAGTTAAATCTATCCATGAGATACATATCCAGTTTATTCTATTTTCTACTTGAGAGTGGTACCATACATTGCTCTCATGGATCAAAGATTTTTTAAGAATTATGTAAGGCGTGGAGAAAGTATTGTTTACACCTTATCTGCACTTTATTGTGCAAATAATCATCTAGTTGTGGGTTTATGGCTTTAAATTCTCATGGATGAGTGAATGCACTTTAAATGTGCCCTGATACCTTGCCCACTGGAATAACATATCCTGTAACCATGGTAACCATGTCTGCCTGCAGTTGCTGGCTCCTTGCTCGTTGGAGTTTACACAGAAGTTCCTGTATGATCAGAACATGACCGAGATGACGGTGGACGTGACCAAGGTGAACGTGTATCTGTCAGCCACTGTCCTACAGCTTTTGTACGACATCTACCAGAAGATCCAGCTGCCCCAGTCAGAGGTATAGATAACAGGTCTTGAGTGAAAGGGTTGTGAAGGGGGAGGGTATACACAAATCTGGGTCAGAATAAGTCACCAGGGAATACTGAAAGGAGGATTGGCCTTGTAACAGGCTTCATTATTTGTGCCTCAATAAGCTAGAATATTTCTGACTTTATTTCTTTCACTTTGGCTGCGATGGGTGCATTTGTTCTAGAACCTTGCCTGATAAGAAGAATCTCTTGACTTACTAGGTTGAGGTTGATGCATGCAGTGCAGTATGTAATTTTCTGTATTCCAGACAGACAGTGCCAGGCCAGAGGGTGAAACTAATGATGTAAAGGGCCTGTGGAAGGTGAAGGCTGTGAAAGCCCAAAGATGGCTGCAGGACAGAGGTTAGCTCAGTCACAGAATCTTTCAGCTTTTCTGGACAAATTTTGCAACATCTGACATTTGTAGTTATAATTTGAGTTTTACTTTTGTGTGATTTGCTGCTCTCCTGGTTTAATGTTTAAAGTTACTGATAATCTGTTTCCCTTTTTTTCCATTTAATCCATTATAATATTGAGAATGTGTGGTTTAGTTGGTGACTAGATGTTTTGCATGCCAAGTGATGCGTTATTACACTTTCACCTCATCTATTTACAGAGGATTTTGCAGATATATCATCTGCTCTGCGACCACCAGAGACTCCAAAAGAAGTGATCAAGGTGAAGGTCGAGGAGATCAACGCCATGTTTGAAGTGGAGAACCTTGACCAACATGTACCCATGTTGAGTGTGAGGACCTCGCTGGAGGGGAAGGTGGTTGACCGACTCACCAAGGTGAGCAGACAACACCTGCTGTTGTCTTGAGTCCAAAGTAAGCAGACGACATTGATCTTGTGTCATGTACAGAGTGAACATAGTTGAAACTATGTTCTGCTTTTAAGTTTTAATTCCTTAGAAACATGTTTTACAGGTATCTTCAGGTATAATTTAGGATTCAGTGCTAGAAGTTTCAAGGTTCTTTAAACCTTTCCTATTTTCAAATTGTATCTAAACCAAATGCTGAAATTTGATCATATTGGCAAATCCAATTGTAAGTCTCATGACAAGTGGGTGATTAATGTTTGTATCAAACAAGTCTTGTACAGTGAAATCTTTGGTACTTCGCTGTGTGATTCCTCTAGCTACCAAGCAACATTCTGTGAGATACCTGATCACTTCATGTGGTTTGCTGTAAATTGTAATGCATTATTGTGTGTAGTAGTTATATATGTACTTAACGTAAGTAA